ATCACCGCTGAAGGATGATCTGCATCAGTAATGAAGTTATTATGAGAGAGAGACCGCGGGGCGTCCTAGTCTTGTCTGGTGTGTTCATGCTGCTGCTGTTGTTGTTGTTGCTATTACTACTGTTGCTGCTGCTACTGTTGCTACTACTACTGTTGCTACTACTACTGCTACTGCTTCTACTACTACTACTACCACTACTACCACTACTACTACTACTACTACTACCACTACTACCACTACTACTACTACCACTGTTCTTGTTACTAAAGCTGCTCTTACTGTTTCTTCTTTTTGCTCCTGCTTCTCCCCTCCTGCTATTCCTTCGACTATTTACAACTCGACCAATCATAATAATAAGCAGCGGAAGAGAGACGCATTTATCACCTGATTACGAAATAAGTTGTACTCGGGTGAAGGGAGTGGACACAGCTGCTGCGGTAATCATGATCACTTCGATTACCTGTTTGAAGCTAGGTTTGCTCTGAGCAACTTTTTTTTTTAATCAAAGCGAGATTAGATTTAGATTTTGTTGCCGAAAGGATTTGTTTACTGTGCGTATTATGTCTATCCTGTGGAGGGTGGCGTAAGAGCACATGAATACAGAAAAGGTCTAGGAACTAGGCCCCAGAAGGCCCTACAGGAGCACATCTGGATTTATATCTTAAGTTCACTTATCTGTTGCAAGCACATTTAGGAAATTTGCTTAATTTATCTAGTATCTTATTTTCACTAATACGATAGCTTGACATATCCCGCGATAGGTTATTACACTGCCTATCTCTGTATTCCTCAATAAATGGACAATTAAGCACATAGTGTTCAAGATAGTGACCATAGGGTTGGCCGCATACTTTGCATTTGGTTTAATCATCATCTGTGTGTCTGCCAAACTGCCAGAAGTACTTGTAACCAAGCCTTAGCCTGGCCACTACAACATCAGTCAGTCTGTTCACATTGCAAGTTGCTCCATAAACGTGCTTATCTACGTTCATGTTATATTGGGTTATAGATATACTCAGGCTTCTAACTGCATTCCTATGACATTCTCATTATTTATTTCTCTCTTAATATTATTCCTAATGCAAAAACTATATTCTACATTCTCCTTCAGGGTACTTTTCTTGGCTAACATATCAACTTTATCATGAAGGAGTAATCCAATGTGTGATCGAATCCATAATAATTGTGCATTGATTTTTTTCTGGATTTTTGAGTATCTATATCTGGCTTCTCCAGTGATAATCATATGAGTGAAGTGTGTTTAACCTAGGCTTTTTTTCTAAGCTAGACATGTTCTAAGTTCGACAACTTCTAAGCAAGGCATATTCTAAATTACGTATTTTCTAAGAATCTTCACTTGTTTTTTACACTATTTTTAATGCATATTGCGACGTTTTAGGGAGTTTACAGTGTTTTAAGGCCTCCCGGAGCTGATTGCAAAGCCCAGCCCTAGGTAGGGTATGCAGTCCCCCTTCTATAACATGCCACCTACAACAGTCGGCTAACTCCCATATGCCTATTTACAGGTAGATGAAATGGACGTTTTCCTATTTACTGATAGATTAAGTGGGTGTACCTATTTAATGGGTGATAGGGGTAAGGAGACTTGCATATTTTTACATCTCCACTCTCTCTCTCTCTCAAAAAAAAAAAAAAAAACGTACGAAGAGGGACTTCGGGTTGTTTATAAAACTGAGCATCGTGTTTGGATGTATTTGCTGTGTGCCTTTGTTAAAGGGATGAAGTATGTGTTTGTTTAGGAGAGGGGAGAAAGAGAGACAAACACACACACACACACACACACACACACACACACACACACACACACACACACACACACACACTGGTGCCGGGTGTAGAAAAGGCCTCACTGTGTCTGCTGACCAGCTGATATATCGCCTCTCCAGATGTACATGTTTGTGGATTCCCAACCATCTGATGCTGACGTAATGGCGTCCCCAATGGTCATAGGTTGGTACCCCCCCCATCCTCTCTCTCTCTCTCTCTCTCTCTTTATTTACACAATGGTTTTACAGGGTTAGGTTATGAGTTCCTTCCTATTCTTACAAGCTACGAACTGTTACATACCTCACCTCATTTGAATTTTTTCTCTCTTCTCTCTCTTCTCTTCTCTCTCTCTCTCTTCTCTCTCTCTCTCTCTCTCTCTCTCTCTCTCTCTCTCTCTCTCTCTCTCTCTCTCTCTCTCTCTCTCTCTCTCTCTCTCTCTCTCGATTTTGTACAGATTAGACTAAGAGATCCTAGTTAAAAGATGTCATGAATTAACGTCTTTTTTTTTTTCAAAATTTCCCATTGGAAATATCTTTTATTTACGGTGTTGATCAATAGTGTGAGATATTTAATTATTATAACGAAGGTACAGAATACCCAGAAGTAAATGAATAAGAGACATGTATCATTAATGATACTTTTCTGACACAGCAACACAGGTATCCTGGTGCAGAGGTCATCTTCCACAACTTAGTTGCTCAACTACTAGTTATGAGAGTAGTTGGTTTTGAGAGGGACCTGCCTAGCATTAACCAGTAGGCTTGTTGCACTCTTTCTTAATTATGTTTTTTTACTGGGCCCCGCCTCCTGTGATGCTGTCTCCAAAGTCTTCACCTCACTACACAACCCACACATAGGAGACTGAAACTTATGGGGACGTTTTGGTCAGACTTTGGCCCCATTCTCGTGCTTGGATCGACACTGTAAAGCTGAGCACTTCTCAAGGCTGATGGACTGACCAACTCAAAGCTGTTTCTTCAAGGCTGTCTGATTGATCACGTCATCTTCACCGCTTCACCTCTCCACTGCTTGTGCTGTTTAAAATATTTGTCACCTCTGTATTTGAGTGAAGAAGCCTGCAGAGCAGACGAAATACTTCGACAAAGATACCCAGCTGTTGCACATGCATCTTACTCATGTAATATATTTCACATTGAACAGCAACATATGTACAGGAAACAGGAAGTGGAGCCTTGTGCAGACCAAAGCTTTAACCTGGTCACGAGGCGCACTTAAAGTGCAGGTGACAGGAGGCTTGACGGTATAATCTCGTCAATTCACTTGTATTTCACGTAATGGGAAATAATATATGCAAAACCAAACCAGAAAGACGAGTTTATTTATGTAAAGTATAGTAGAACATACACCTGACACTGGAGTAATTGACATGTGTAAACTACTACATAGAAAGTCACTTCTTATGTCGAGAATTTTAGACAACCTGAAATTTTTAGGCTTAGAATTGCTAGACACAAATCTAGTAGTTTATTAGACTGGTGTAGTTTTGTCATATTTGACATTTAAATACTGTAACACTGTGGTATATGAATTCTGGTAATTAAGATGTTGTGTAACAATATGGTACAACATTTGTACGAGGGAATACTGAGGTGGAAGATATCTGGTTACTAAATATATTGAAACAGACTGATGGTGGTGTGAACATCGCTATGAATGTTAATATAATTTGGGTCAGCAGGGTTGCTTATGTTACATCAGACTTTACCACAGTTTGTCTAAAAATAATAATAATAATAATAAATAATAATAATAATAATAATAATCTTTATTTCTACGAATACATAATACAACTTATACAGTCCTAGCTGACATCACTTACACATTATAAATAAATCCCCTTGTTATGAAGAGAATGTTTGGCAACTTAGGTAAATTTTGTTCCCAGGACGCGACCCACACTGGTCAACTATCACCCAGCTGCCTACTTGCTGCTGAGTGAACAGGGTCAACAGGTGTCTTAAGGAAACACGCCCTATGTTTCCACTCGTACCTGGGGTTGAACCACGGACCTCAGTGTGTAAGCTGAATGCGCTACCAACCGAGCTACTGCTTTGTGGCAGTATTTTAACATGAGGTGTCTGAAGAGGAAAATTTTGTAATTTCTAGAAAGAAGTTCCAAATTTTAGGACCTTTAATTTGTATGGAGTTCCTAGACAGGTTGACTCGAACATGTGGTATATCACTGAGATATTTATTTCTTATATTGTGTCTGTGTGTTGTGTTGCAGCTCTCCAGGAAGAGTCGAGAACTGGGGTGAAGTTCGTTCCGGGTGTCCTGCATATATGAAATGCACAGTAGTAAGTGCGGATGTACTGTAAACTAAGTTTAAGCTTTTGAAAAGTGTGTGTGTGTGTGTGTGTGTGTGTGTGTGTGTGTGTGTGTGTGTGTGTTGTGGTGTGTGTGTTATCTGGAACCTGAATGATTGATTACTCTAACAGCTGATCTCTGTTGGGTAACAATGGGTTTTCGGTGATGTGCTGTAGTGGATCCCCAAGCACAGATACCATAAGCGAGGTAAGAATATATTAGAGAGTAACACTAAGTGAGTAATCTTGTTTGGGAACCAAAGCAGCTCATTTTTTATAGACTGACCAGAGTTCTGTAATTTTTCGTAGATATATGTTGGATATGAGTACTGAATTTCAGGTTACAGTCAACGTGTGTCTAAGAATTTTCCCTCGTCTTGTCTATGTGTGAATTATTTATTGCAATTTTTAAATGTGTATTTTTAGCTTTATTCCCATGCAACATGAAGAAGGTCATGTCAGAAGTGAGAGTAAGTTTGTTGGTTGTCATCCAAGTAGAAATCTTTACGAACTCCTCATTCACTAAGTTGTTGAGGATAACACCATCTGGATTAGATATAACGAGTGTTGTGTCATCTGGAAACGGAACTGGGTTTAGTTCCTGGGAGGCATTTGGTAAGTCACTGATGTAAAAGAGGAATAATAGTGGGCCAAGGACGCTACCCTGAGGCACTCCTATGTTGATAGCCTGAGCTAATGTCACATGCTGACGTCTGTTAGTGAGGTAGGATTTATGTAAGTAAGATCATTCTTTCTGATACCATAATGATCTAGATTCAGCAGCAATATATTGTGATTTACAGTGTCAAAAACATTTCTTAGATCAATAAAGATGCCCATTGGATCTTCATTATTTTCCAGAGCTGAGTAGACCGGGTCTAGCATCTTAATGGTAGCGTCATTAGTACCTTTTCCGGTCCTGAAGCCAAACTGGCAGCAGTTAAGAATATTCTCGTTGGTAATATTTGTCTGTATTGTTTATGTATTATCTTTTAAAAAAACAATAATTGCAAGTTAGAGACTAGTCTAATTATTGATTTCAGTTGGATCTATAACTTTGTGGATTGGCGAAATACGAACTAAATTAAATATATTAGGAAAAACATTGGTTTCAAAGTGTATATTAAACAACGTTGTAATGATTGGAGATACCAAAGGCAACTTTCTTATGTATGAGTGGTGTTATACTTGCTTTATTCCCTATTTTATTGTCAGTGCATTTCTTATTGAAGTTACCTTTATAGAATTTATTGGGACAGGCAGTAGGAGTCTTGATACTGAACAGTAGAGTTCAGGACTTTGTTGGCAAAGTTACTTCCTTTAGCTAAAAAAGTTAATAAATTTATTTACGGTATCGGCATTACGAATGGTACGTTCATTAGGTCTGGTCGGTAGAGTTTCTTTGGACTTTAATATACAAAAAGCTGGTTATAATCATAACCATAATTTGTAAAGGGGTGGACCGGTAAGCCAGGGGAAGGCCTCGGCCAGATGACCTAAAGCTCCAGCTGCGGATCTTGATATCGCGGTTTATTTCGTGGAACCGGATGCTGTAATATGCTTGTTTCGATTTCTTAATAAGCATAGTAAGGATTGGTGTGTATGTTTTTTGCTAGTTCTTCAGGAATTAAGGTGACTCTGTGTTTTATCATGGGTGTGCTGCTTCTTGTCAGCGGCTCTAACACTGTTGTTGTTGTTGTTGGTTAACCAAGGAACAGCAAAAATAATAAAACAACACAAGTGTTATGTAGCAGAGATGTGACCTTAAGTGTACGTTCAGTGGAGTGTTTGTTGCCTCACTCAACTTTGCTTTACAAACACACCTCACCAAACACTACAACATATTTATTAGAGAATATTAAAGGTCCTGGGACCTTGATCAAGGTCCCAGGACCGAAACGTTTTCTATTAAATATGTCCTGATGTTTGCTCATGTGTTTTTCTAAACCAGTTTGCCAATATGTGTTACCAAGGTTTATACCATACTGGTAACTTTACTGTAATACATTTCCCTGCTTCTCAGCTGTTTTTTTTTTTTTTTTTGCCCCTCAAGGAAGGTTCCTTGATGTTGGTGAGGGGCTCTTGATTTAGGGAATTGGATCTGTGCTCCAGTTTCCCGAATTAAGCCTGAATGCCTTCCACATCCCCCCCCCCAGGCGCTGTATAATCCTCTGGGTTTAGCGCTTCCCCCTTGATTATAATAATAATCAGCTGTTTTTCCAGTCAGGTTAAGACTGACATGACAAGTAAAGGTGAATCAGTTTATCAACAATGATTATAATCCTCACGAATTTCATGTATTATGATTTAGTCCAACCATGATACGGGTTGGGGTTGAACCCGCAGCAATTGAGTCGTAGAACTCCGGGTCAGTACGTAAGCCACTGGGCCAGCTGGCTACATTAAGATTCATCCATCTAGGTATATTTATACACCATAGGAAGGTTAGCATGAGCTCCACTGTGACCACAAATGTAAGTTTTTACAGATGAATCTCCCGCCAGAGTGGCCGTTACGAGCTCTAGCTGATGTATTTGTGGTCACAGTGGTGGCCCATGCTAACCTTCCTATGGTGTATAAATATACCTGTTTTGCCGCGAGTTCAGTCCCACCCGCACCCCGGTTTGTTTGCAGTCATTACGAGTCATGAATTAATGTTATTTATGTAATCCTGGACTTATATTCAATTTGTAATCAGTACTATTATTTTTTTTTAAAGTTCGATTCTATTGTATTTCGTTCGGCCATTGATTTGCATGTTACAGCTTCCTCACTTTTTAACCAATCAGCGGCGTGATAAGTCTTCCACGTGAACAATCCGAGCACTAAACCCGCCAGGTTCTAATGGTACGGTAATCCTCAAGATTTTTTATATTTTAATTTGACCAAAATAAATTTTATTGCATCATGTATACAGGGAATTCTATAGACACAACATTCAGTAATATATATATATATATATATATATATATATATATATATATATATATATATATTATATATATATATATATATATGTCGTGCCGAATATGTAAAACTGGTCAATTAGCAAGAACTCTTTTAAAATTAAGTTCTTTCTAAAATTTTCTCTTATACGTTTAAAGATATATTGTTTTCATTAATGTTAATGTAAAATTTTTAATTTTGCACCAAAAGAATCTTAGAAAACTTACCTAACCTTATTATAACAAGAACAATTTATTTTAGCCTAACCCAACTAAATATATTTTAGATACGTTTTCAATAATTTAATACGAAACAAACACAGTGAAATATATATTTTTCGTTAGGTTCAGAATGATTTTGGCGAAATTATTGCATACACAAATTTTCACTTGTCCTATATGGCAAGATGAGCGTTGCTATTTAAGCCAAGATGGCAAGTTCTGCCTATTCGGCACGACTATATATATATATATATTAATATATATATATATATATATATATATATATATATATATATATATATATATATATATATATATATATATATATCAGGGCTGTAAAATATCTTTCTGGACTTTTTTTTTTTGGGGGGGGGGGATATATAAGATTATATGCTATTTCATACATGAAAATATCGCTATCAAGTTATATTTTTTTTATATCAAGATATCGTTACGTTATATTATTTAACATGATAATGCTGGTGTTAATTTATCACATAGATAAAGACTTTCTTGTCATTCCGTTAATACGGACGATAGCGCTAATGTACCGTTATCATAAATTAGTTGTGTCGTCTGCGATTTGCCGTGTGATCGTTACTAGACAGATATATTAGCGTTATCTATTCTTTATTGGTATAATTGTATCGCTGTCGTGTATTTTCTATCGCTATCGTATTTTTGTACTACTATCTCATCTCTGTCATACTTTTAATTGCTATCGTATTTTTACCTCTATCTTTTCTTTATCGTTATCGTATTTTCGTATTGATATCTCATCGCTATTGTATTTTCTTATCGCTGTTTCATCGTTTATTTTCGGATCGCGGTCTCGGTATAGCATTTTGGTATCGTTTTCTCGTTATCATATTGCTTCCGTCTTTATCGTAATTATGCTATCGTATTGTTCGATAGCATTCATTTACGTTACAATTCTTACATCGTACAGTTATCGTACTGCTAACGCACGGTTGCTCTACCACTATCACCTCTTCGTTATCACGTTGTCCGCCTTCCCCGCGTTACCTGGAAGAGTCGTTGTTAATGGAGAACGAGTAACGAGGCCTGTTAGCGTAGGGAGGACCAGAAAGGTAACCAGTTTAGCTTCGTTAGTGTGTCAGACGGTAGAGGGAGACAGGCAGACACAGAGACAGACAGACAGTAGTTACGTAGTAGTAGTTACTTCAGTAGCAGAGATGACGCTAATAATAATATTAATACTAATACTGCTACTACTAATAATGATAATAATAGCATCTAATCCTCTTAGAATAATTATATATATATATATATATATATATATATATATATAATATATATATATATATATATATATATATATATTATAATGTCGTGCCGAATAGGTAAAACTGGTCAATTAGTAATAACTCATTTAAAATTAAGTCCTTTCTAAAATTTTCTCTTATACGTTTTAAAGATATAAATTTTCATTTATGTTTTTGTAAAAAATAATAATTTTGTACCAAAAGAGCCTTAGAAAACTTACCTAACCTTATTATAATTAGCACAATTTAATTTAGCCTAATCTAACTAAATATGTTTTAGATAAGTTTACAATAATTTAATAATAAACAAACACAATGAAATGTATATATTTTTTTCATTAGGTTCAGAATAATTTTTACGAAATTATTGCATACACAAATTTTTGATTGCCTTTTTCGGCTATTTAAGCCAGAATCGCAAGTTTTACCTATTCGGCATGATATATATATATATATATATATATATATATATATATATATATATATATATATATATATATATATATATAAAGAGGATTAAATGCTAATTTATTATTATTATTATTACTATTATTATTATTATTATTATTATTATTATTGTTATTATTAGTGTCAGCTTTACAATGTCGACGTCATTTCTTCGAAATAAGTTTTCCGATAGCATTAACCCGTAAACGGTCCAACAGATCTACGTTCACATGTGTAGTGTTACAAAAGTAGATCTACGTTTTTTTTTTACATATTTTCAAATATAAAAAAAAAAAAGTAGATCAAAGTTTTTTACACATTTTCAAATGTAAAAAAACAAAAAGAAGATCTACTTTTTTTACATACTTTCAAATGTTGAAAAAACGTATATATACGTTTGGACCGTTTACGGGTTAAATTTGAAAAATAGGCAATATAAAGGATTTAATACGCGTTAAATACGTTTAAAATACGACCTCTGTCCTTTTACTAAAGGATTAAATGCGTGTTCAATACGCCTCATGTCCTTTTAGTAAAGGTAAGGTTGTCTGAGTGGTCGGTGGGTTGTGTCGGTGTGAGTGTCGGAGTCGGGCGATGAGTGGGCCGACACGGCGTGTGACTGGGGCGTTTAGTTAGAGGTCCAGATAAGACCAGGCTTCTCCAGGGCGGTTCACCTGGCGGGGAAGGGGAGACCCCCAGGAGCTGGTCTTCAAGGGTAGCACCAGCAGCGGGGCCCCTGAGATGGGTTCCTCCCATAATTGTGGTTATTAACAAGTGACTTGCCAGCTAAGTGGGTTGGGACTGTTAGTACCTGGGGGTTGGATGGGGGTTTGAGGTGGGGTTGGAGAGGGGTGGTGTGGGAGAGGGGTGAACCAGGCAATATCATTCACGTTTTAAAACGGCTTTGACGTTTTTCTCAGCGTCAGCCAATTACACGTTTCTCCAAGCTATTATATCTTACAAAAATCAGTATATATATATATAT